TATTTCTTATAGCAGAGACTGTGATAGAAGCTCTGAAGAGATTTGACAGTTCTTGAATCTCCACTGCTTCTCTTCGTATTTCTTATAGGAGAGACCGCGATAGAAGCTTTGAAGAGATTTGATAGGAGTGCTTGAATACAGCATCATTCAATTTCCATTCCGATTGAATCGACTTTAAACCTTATTAAATACTATTAAAACGTGTCTGTCGATACTACTGTACAAATAGCCCATTTGATATCGAATCCCACGTAATAAAATTATGATAGCCCATTCGTCTCAATCACGTTCCAAAGAAGATTGACGAGCTCCAAGTATTTCCTACTTTCCAGCTATGGAATCCCCATTAAAATAGACTGTCTCCTTTCATTCTTACCGGCAATGTATCAAAGCTTCAACAAATTATTATATTTCTCTTTCAGCGACGCGAAACGAAGAAAGGATCACACCGGACGTTCATCATAAACGCTCTTTATGCTTTTGATTGTTGCTCAGAAAGCCTTGATCACGATATTGGCTTTCGGGCAATAATCATAATCACGAAAGGGCAGAGCCTCAACCGTTCCTCGCGCCGATGGCACCTGTTACGTCAAGGGATCAGAGCTTCCGCGCTTCCGTCCACTCGTTAAATAATTGTACTATAATAAAATCAATTGTAAAAACGGTACAGTGTCAAGATTTATCAATTAATCATTATAGAAACGTCGTTCCCTCACTATTGTCAATGTTCTCGTCGATAAGAAACATGTATTAGTCTCTTGAATTTCTCAGGGTTATAATATAGAAGCAGCGTTACTTTCATTTCACGAGTTTTCGTTTTAAAAACCCTTCGCAGCGTCAATTAAAATGCGGGGGTCTGACAAAAGGAACCGACTCGAGGCATTTAACGTTTTCAAAACAAATTGATGCCACTGCCGGCTGCGTCCGAATAAAAATAACTAAAAGAAAAGAGTACCGGCTTTCACGATGCTGCAGTTTATTCAATTCCATCCGCGATACTCGACTCCCATCCTTTCTCCCTCATCCCGTTCGGATGAAATTATTCCTTTGAAATTATAATTGCACACTCGACTTCTCGAACTGCCGACTAATTGTTGCTTCAACGATCGATTGACCGTTCCTTACGCTTTAATAATCGCGTATCCCATCAATAAATATAATCGTCGATAACAAACCATTGTTTTTATCTCGAGAGAGCGATCAAAACTTGTTTTTATAAAAGAATATTTGCCTTGTGTCCACTGAAATTATTCAGACAAAATATTTGCTACAGTCGATTCATGTTATTCAATACCCCATGTTTGCTACACTGTATCGGATATCGGATTTTAGTTGAAATCCGTGAAATCTATACTCCAAAACAAAAATCTGAAAGGATTTATAAATATTCCCGTCTATCGAATTTCATATCAACAAACCTCCGAGCGATTCGTTCGTAAAATCGTGTTTATGCTTTCTTCTGTTTTCGATGGTCGTACGCCCCTATCAAATATCGACGAATTCTCTAAATTGTATAACTGCGTTTCCTATATTTCTGAGCGGCTATTCAAATATAAGCCCATCGATACCGTTTATCAGATTTAGCAGCGAGCAAAGCGGATACGATCGACACGCGAGGAGAGCATCGCGCGCTGTCCGATAGGATTCATAAAAGATTCAACGTTAATTACCGAAGATGGCTCGCGGCTGGAAATCCGGTTTTTATATATTTATCTATGAGCCGCACGCGATATATTTTTAAGCCAAAGAAGTTTTTCCGCCGTCTCGTCAGCCACCTTTCGTTTCCGTCCGGTGCGATACGAACAGAAGTCGTGACGTCTCGGACCGGCCCAGTCCAGTCGACGGTAACAGGTTGCGACGGGCTGGCCGTTTCTCAAAAACTGCCAAAAACTCGAGGCAACGAGGGTCCGACAGGTGAAGGAACGTGGACAATGAGAAATTCCCGTTGCCGGAGACGGGTCGGGGTCTCGATGCATTATTTAAATTTTAAAAGCGTTTCGGAGTGTTGGCTTAATTCGCCGTCTAGTTAGCCATCCCCCTGACCCGTCGTGCGTGGACGACAAACACCCATCGAACTCCCGTATAAACCGTCCACTTCGCACCCCTACCCCTCTCGCCACACGTGTGACCGTACTTTATATGGACGACTTTACGACATCGCAACTCCGTCAAAAATAATTTAATATTTCATTTTCATTCAATATAAGAATTATATTCCAAGTGTCAATTACTGAAATGAACGATGCAAATTTGATGCCGACTATTGGTTTTTAAATCGAAGTTGGAAGTGATTGATACCATGGAAATTTGTTAATTATGAAAGATTCTCCGATGAAAACGAATGATCGTGAGAAATTTCAAATTTTACTTAAATATCGACTATAATGGGTATAGATAAAAAATTGATAACAATGGTCACACTTCTACAAAACTACTCTCTTTCTCGTCGATCCTGATGATCGCGGAACCCGTGGAAGCATAATCCCTTGATAATACTCTGAGTGACACATGCAGAAACAGAAAGCCTCCCATCGCGGTATATCGAATTCTAAATCTCTGCGACTCGACCCAAATTTGCATACCACTTTCTCATCAAATATTAATCTCGCGCTTCTATAAAAAAAAAGTATCAATCTTAATAAATGCACGAGTATGGGTCTATTAATAAAAGACTATTTTAAAATCTTTTTAGCCTCGATGAATATTTTAACGGAACGTTAAAAGAAAGTTGCGAAAACTGCGATAATGATCGCGATTGTTTGAAACATATTTTCCGCGGGGCGTGAACGTGTAGGAGAGCCGCGGGAAACCCGATGGCAGTCCATATTTATATAGTCAAACAGGTTGACAGATCGACGTTTGGTCGCGCCTCGTTCGCCTTGCGCCGATGAATATTTCAGTCGCTCCTGGCTTCAGCTGTCAGTCCGCGGGACAGGATGCGCGAGAAAGAGAGTAAAGGGGTGGAAGAGCAGTCGTGGGGGAGCAGGGTGGAGAAGGTTCGGTTCTATGTATAGAGAGACGTATGGCCCGGCGAACTTTCGACCTGAAATGACCCAGGCTCGGATGCAGACGCCTCCGCGAGTTTCCACCTTCCGCGATAGATGCACACACCCCCTCCTATTTATAACCCGCGATCACCTAATGATCACTGTCTTAATTCGGTCCACCAGACGATTGTCCCCGATAACACCGGTTCAATATTTATCCGAAGCCTCTATCGTGTTCTTCTTTAATTAATATTTTACGACTTCATTAACCACTTTATTATACCCTTGTTTAGAGCTAACTATGCCATTGACACGCGATGAATTATCAGATACGTTTCTACTCGACGAGATAAATGAAATCAGAGAGGTGTGTTCATGCTTGGAACAAATGGTTTTAATATCCTTGTTCGACGAGCGATACTGGTTTATTAAACGAGCGAGAACACTGAAAAATCGCTTTCTAATTAACTGTGGCTACAATTACGATTAGGTGAGAACCTCACGATCTTCTACAGAGATATCATTGTAACTTCCTACTGTGTAAATTGAAACTTATTACACGCCGGCTGATGCACTTGGCAAACGTGATCTTTTAAGGATGTATAGGCGATATACTTAAACAATGCTTTATGCTAGCATGTTGAATTTGTTATTATAGATTCCTATTACTATTAAAAAGCTACCTGCAAAATTTTAGATCAATTCATGGGTTTTTTGAAAAATTATAGTGACTTAAAATTTGCATGTACTCTTATGGTACTCAGCAATAACCCAAAGAAAACTTTCTGGTGTTTGGTATGCATGCGCGAAGTTGGAAGAAACAACTGACTTGAGGAAATACNTTCTTGTAGAGGCCGTCAGAACCTACAATTTCTATATAAAAATTTTTTCGCCGGCGTCAATAATTAATTGGATATTCCCTTCTATACTTTTTAGCACGTAGCTATTTATTATTAGCATTGTCCTTTCGACGTCTGATTTTTTTTTAATTATAGGAAATGCGTTTTCTAAAGTACATAAACTTTTGATATTGACTGTATAGCCAGTACATTCTTAAACTTCGTATGAAAGAGTAATTCGTCATATTCGATATCTCGTCGACAGGATCACGCGTGAAGTTATTTCGCGAGCTATTCATATACTGGGAAATTAAATCGTTGGATAACTGTGAATGTCATCTCACAGTCGACCTACCCTGAATATTCATGAGAAGAGATCGTTATAAACCGAACAAGCGGGTTTACCAAGTGCTTTTTTACAATGCTCTTTCGTGAGAGAAAACCGGACGATTATTTAATTATTCAATATCGCGGTTCACCTTTTATTTTTGCTTAATCGAATGATACAAATACTTCATTTCTCCTATTCGTCGATAACGAACTACTCTTAAACGTTTAAATGATTTATCAATAAAGTTCTAATTACTCCCGTTCACTGCCATATTTCAAATCCAGTTAAGAAAGAGATTAAACGAAATCTTCTGTATCCTCTGTAGAGACGATACGACGCTGATAAAACGTACAGGTTCCTACGCACGGCTGTATTCTACACGGCAGTTTGTAACTCGTTTATTATTACCGAAAATAATAAACCACGTTCCGCGAAACAATCACTGTCCGCGGTACAATTTCACGCGGTGCGTTTGATAGAAATTTGTTGTTGTAATTCGCGAACGATAGAAATTTTGCAAACTGTTGGACAAAATTGACATTTTCTATCAGGAGTGCAGCAGATTCGAAGAGCTGCTAGATTTTTGCAGAAAAACGCAGTCTACGCGGGCGCGCAATTTTTGCTACTTTCACTCCGCGATTAAATCGCACGCGGAGTTCCGCGTTCTCAATATTTCTTCTAATATATATTTTTAAACAATTTCACGTTCTATTGTCGTTTTATATGTTACGCAAATCTTTATTTCAATATGAGACAAAAATCTGTCGAACTGAAGTAATGAGAAAATTAATGCTGGATTATGATTTTAGCTGATGCCTCGGATTTGTGCATAATTAATTAATTTATATTGAGACACGCGATACCGCGATAGTTCGACGTATAGTTCACGTCTGTAATCACGTGTCTATACGGTAGTAAATAATTTACACATGTAAAAGCGCAAAACTCGAAATGAGTACCGAAGAAGAATCCGACTTACGAAAACTGTTCGTAGAATCATCAGAAAATGATAACGTCTATACGATTGCGACGACTATAGACACAGGTAGATATTTAGGCAGGCTTTGATCGATGAGAAACAGAAACACGTGCTTGTTTCATGTAACCTCTAACACGGAAATTCCTCAGGTTTCGAATGGCAAGCGGTAGACGAGTGCAGAGAAAAATTAGACAAAAATATTAAGATCGTTAAGGAACGAGGGAAGATTTTCTTCAATACATCCAGGGACCAATTCGCTCAAGTACTATTTTTTTTATTCTCTTCCGAAATACGTGTAATCGATGTATAAATGTATATAAAATAATTGAATTATGATTTTAGGTGATAGACATGAGATCGATAGATAATATATTTATTGTAGCGGACGTTAGAAAGTTCCAATTTACTGGAACTAGTAAAGACGATGATTTACAGTTGTTCAAAGATGCTGTGGACAGCATGAAATTGGAAAAAGCTTTAAACGTCTGGAAACAGATTACTGGTTTCCAGGGAAAGTTGTATCCTACTGCTGAGGAATATAACGCGGCAGAGAAAGATTGCAAACTTTCCAACACAAATGTTACGGTCACTACGGCGACTAAGGGTAGAAAAAGAGGTCAAGACCCATCTGATACTCGGGAAGATGAAATTTTGAGATACAGGGTGACATGTGAGAGAACTGGCAAGCATACATTTGAATCATCTGATGCTGCCAGAGTTATTGGGGGACAGTTACAAGATAAACACTTGTGGCTCGTAGATTTGACTACCTATTACTTAGAAGTAGTTTGCAAGGTGACTAATGGTAAGTAAAAAGAAATTCACGTGTACAGTTATTTAAATCTAGGTGATATGTGTCACGAATAGATGAACTGGTGACACAGTTACGTGTCACGCACGAGTCTAAGCACCGTAGAAATATAACAAACTTTGGACCAACTACGCTCAGGGCTACTGTATGCTACAATCTGTTAAGACTGGCTCATCCCAAACCGGGAGACGTAATAATCGATCCGATGTGCGGCGGTGGTTCAATTCCTATCACGTGTCTATACGGTAGTAAATAATTTACACATGTAAAAGCGCAAAACTCGAAATGAGTACCGAAGAAGAATCCGACTTACGAAAACTGTTCGTAGAATCATCAGAAAATGATAACGTCTATACGATTGCGACGACTATAGACACAGGTAGATATTTAGGCAGGCTTTGATCGATGAGAAACAGAAACACGTGCTTGTTTCATGTAACCTCTAACACGGAAATTCCTCAGGTTTCGAATGGCAAGCGGTAGACGAGTGCAGAGAAAAATTAGACAAAAATATTAAGATCGTTAAGGAACGAGGGAAGATTTTCTTCAATACATCCAGGGACCAATTCGCTCAAGTACTATTTTTTTTATTCTCTTCCGAAATACGTGTAATCGATGTATAAATGTATATAAAATAATTGAATTATGATTTTAGGTGATAGACATGAGATCGATAGATAATATATTTATTGTAGCGGACGTTAGAAAGTTCCAATTTACTGGAACTAGTAAAGACGATGATTTACAGTTGTTCAAAGATGCTGTGGACAGCATGAAATTGGAAAAAGCTTTAAACGTCTGGAAACAGATTACTGGTTTCCAGGGAAAGTTGTATCCTACTGCTGAGGAATATAACGCGGCAGAGAAAGATTGCAAACTTTCCAACACAAATGTTACGGTCACTACGGCGACTAAGGGTAGAAAAAGAGGTCAAGACCCATCTGATACTCGGGAAGATGAAATTTTGAGATACAGGGTGACATGTGAGAGAACTGGCAAGCATACATTTGAATCATCTGATGCTGCCAGAGTTATTGGGGGACAGTTACAAGATAAACACTTGTGGCTCGTAGATTTGACTACCTATTACTTAGAAGTAGTTTGCAAGGTGACTAATGGTAAGTAAAAAGAAATTCACGTGTACAGTTATTTAAATCTAGGTGATATGTGTCACGAATAGATGAACTGGTGACACAGTTACGTGTCACGCACGAGTCTAAGCACCGTAGAAATATAACAAACTTTGGACCAACTACGCTCAGGGCTACTGTATGCTACAATCTGTTAAGACTGGCTCATCCCAAACCGGGAGACGTAATAATCGATCCGATGTGCGGCGGTGGTTCAATTCCAATCGAAGTAATCAAATTCTTATTTTAATATTCTAATCTACGTATATTCTACTGAAACCTATAAATTTTAGGCAACTCTAGTCTATTCTCAGACCTATGTCATCAGTGGGGACAATCATCCGAAAGCTGTATTTAGAGCAAAATCAAATATCGATGTTTCTTCCCCTAAATCTAAAATTGACCTGTTACACTGGAGTGTATCACAGTTACCGTTCAAAGATTCGTACATCGATGTCGTCGTTACTGACATGGTAATTAAATATCCCAGTGTATTATTAAATATAATTACTGTATTTAATTTCATCTGTTTTTCCAGCCATTTGGAAAAAGAAGTGGCCGAATGATGGACAATAGAGTACTATACAAGCAATTTTTGGTAGAATTAGGCCGAGTTATGAGACTTTCAATAGGACGAGCAGTCTTACTGACTTACGATAGACGCAGCTTTAGCACAGTACGTTATTAAACTCGTTAATATCTCACAGATTATTCAATAGCCTTTTTTACAGGCTTTACAATCGGCTGGAGATTTGTTTCGCGTGACAAAAACTTTGGGTGTCAACATAGGCGGTCTCCAAGCGGTAGTGTATGTTTTAAAAAGAACAGACACTCTCTACGAGCAATTTAAGCCTAAGTACAACGTACAAAAAGAATCTTAAATATTACATTTCAGTATTCTTGTTACACGTTCCAAACTTTCATAAATGATTTCTATATTTCTATGAAAACGTGTTTATTTCACTAAGAACTTATAAGAAGAATTTCCTTCTACTAGTTTCCATATCGTGTCTCTTTCCTTGTATAATCCATTCGTATTCCCCATATTTGCTATCGAATGTTCCTTGTTGTAATGATTTCAGTTTTAAAGTGAATCTAGGTCCCAGTTCCCTTAATCTAGGTTTCCCCCTTTCGGAGTCAAATTGGTACCTGAAATATTATTTCTTGTTATTCAGATATCTTGATTATTCTTACATCGAAGCGCATACCTATGGTGTCTAAAGAATATGTAGTCTCTCTGATTATGAAACGTTACGACCCTCCTGCCTTTGAACTCGGGTTGGTAGTGAAACAATGCACCTAACATCCTACCGATTGTGTAACCCAACCGAGTGGTGAAATTGTTTAAAATAACTTCGGGTCTATGAGTAGTAATTTCTTTATGACTACGTTTTAGTTCTGTAGTTATCTTAACATTGCTAAGCTTAAAGTACGCCGTCGGTCCATCGGGTAAATGAATGACCAGCATACCATTCGGTTTGCATTGATCTTCGTTAACGACAACAATATCAGTGAAATTTCTTGCAATGGCACTCTTTACCATCTTTTTCACCCCAGAACGGTTTCTATATAACGAGATAGAATTCGGAATTATCCTCGTCAGCTCTCTGCCAAAAATTCTAGTCTTTCTGTTTGGATTGTCGCTGAACGTGATCAGAACTTTCGGCTCGTAAGAATGCTTGTAATAAGAAGAAAATTCGTCGTTTTCGAAGTCAAGTTTCAACTCCGCGTTTTCTTCGTCATCGAGATTCCCGGTGATAGTCGTTTCATCTTTTTCTCTCAAGCTTTCAATCGTGTGAGGAATTTGTTTCGGACCTCCTTCCTGAATTCTCTTTTTCCTCGCTTCTTTCTTGGCCTTCGCCTTTTCCTTCTTTAATTTCTGACATTTCTGGTAACGAACTGCCTTACATTTGATGTGATTAAAGTTGCTATCAGATGGCAAAATAACCTCTGGCTTCTTCTCTTCCGATGTACTCGGCTCGTCTTCTTCTCTCTGATTTTCCCGTATACGGTTCAGAGGATTTATTCTTAGGTTCTTCACTTTCATTTTGTTCTCTGTCGTTTCAATTTAATTTCAATACAAAATTATTACTGTGCACCATGCGTAAACTTTACACGTGAATCTTCTGAGGTCAGGTCGGGTTATACTAGGTTCGATGCAGCTGAATGGCGCCAACTTTCGATTGCAAGAACGACTCTCGTAAGTACTCATTTATATTCTCAAATAAATCGTGATATTTCTGTACACGTATTTTTTTTATGTTTTGCATTATTTTTACAAACAGATGGATTTACGTATGTACATTTAATACCCGACAAGTCGACTGTACAGCTTATTTAAATAGACTTAGAAAAATGTTAATATTCAGACAGACGTTGGAATTATTATTTACATACGTAATGAAATAATTTAGGAATGGACTCTTTCCTCGGTTTCGATATAAAAATTCTTTAGTTAGAAAAATTTCACCGTTACCCATAGTATAAAAAATACGACTACAGAGAACAGCATTAAATACAATATATAATAAGCGTGGCTTCCTTTGGATAAGCGTAGTACACGTGCCACTGAATTTGTCAGGGACCCACTTGTCCTTTCAAAATCTTCATCCTACAGTAAAAATACATTCTCCCTTCAATATCGTATTCGATAGATTTCTTCATAAATGATTTACCATTCCACGAAGTATCTGTTCCTGATATTGCACTTCGTTTCCAATATCGATGGACAGTGACTTTAGAGCATGAATCTTGTCTTTCAAATGATCTGTCATTCTTTCATTCTCATCTTCCAATGCATCCTGACTAGTACTTGGTACTGGTTCATAGCCATAATCTATCAAAGATCAATCCAGTTGAAATAATTATATGTACCTCATAAGAGGTTTTCACTGATTCACCTACTTGCATGAGATCTTCGCATTTTATTCGCAATCTTGCCGATGAATTAATAAACAATTTCAAGCAAAAGATATTATCTTGGAGTTGCACGAGTGTTACGGAATGTCAATAAAGTTGATTGCAAATTAGACGAACGATTGACGTTTTAAATTTCTTTCAGTAACAGTCTATCAATTCCAACACTTCCTCGGAGGTTTTAAATAATAGATATTGTTGACATGTGATATTTTATAAACCAAGTTTCTTATTTAATATAGAGATTGAAATACTTTAAGCTGTGTTACAATTTATACTTTGTATACGAAATCTGTATTAATGAAACTGTTTTCATATGTGCAAATTCTGTCAAACAAGCTGTCAATTAAACTGACTTCCACGAGTATCTATCTGATCACTGCACAAGTAGCGTAAGTATATCAACGTCACGCTGATGTGTAATAATCAGGGATACCATACCAACGAACTTAGCTCCAACGGAGACAAACGATTAGCATAATCGAGAGAGTTGGGAGATAAGATCTTGTTTTCTAAGATTCTGGTGGGAATCATGTCTCAGGATTTCGCAATTTTAAGATAATTTATTCGTTATTGAGAAATATATGACCTCTGTTCTTGCTACCTATGACCTGTCACCTATATACTGTCACAAACTGTAGTTTATTATATACAACCGTACTGATCGTACAGTCTGTGATATACGTTTGTCTCATATTAAAGCTAACCATAAGTATGCTATATGTAAGTAGAATAGTAAAATACGTGTAATTATGTAATTGTATTTAAAGCTAGTGAACGAAACTGAGAAATTATCGATTCGACACCCTTTCACCTCAACGTGCGATAATGTAGTAGATTTACCCGAAGAGCTTCGAGTTCGATCGTCAGAACTTTTTGCACATTAGACGGTGCGTAATTTATTCCTCGCCTCATTTAGAATTAATAAATGTTCCGCGTGCGTGTATATTATCCGCCAAGAAATTTCGCGGGTGTCGAAGTTTCTGGGTAATATTTCCCAAGATTCTTTGGTACTGAATCGCGAGGCTGCGCGAACAACCAAAGCCTCGACTCGTCGTACGAGGAAGGAAGATAAAGAAAAATAGAGAGAAACAGACAAGGCATTCGAATTTTACTCGATACCACGTTATTTCATCTTTACTCGTGATACACGAATACGTGTAGATCGTTCGTTATCTATTCATTGCCACCAATTCGTGTGACTGCGTGCATGTAGCAGTTAATGATCGAATGGCGCATTACCCGTGCCACGATCACTGATCTCATTGGAATCATTTTCACGATCATAAGATGTGAACACCGACGATTAGCACCGGTTTCAGAGGCTGTCCTCGTCGAAATTCTGATTAACGAATTTTGTACGATGTTCCGTGTGAGAAATCTTCCGTTTGTTACAATTCCGATGTTTACCTGCGACATGTAAATGTATCTAATCTGAAAAAGTTCCAAGGCGCACGCCGAAATCCGGTGTAAATAACTTGGCCAAACAGAGTTGAGGTGAAATCGTCGACACATCGCAAACGAATTGCTGATAATCCCTGTTTTAAGACAGATGCTTACCAGCGGACAGGAATCTAAGACACAAAATAATGACGTGGATCATCGGCGATCATCGCGAAACGTTCTTTGTTCGCAGCTCTGGATTTATAGAGAAATATGTCGACGCAAGATACAGAACTGCCAGATCGTTTCGTGACTCAGGATGTCGAGATCATGCCGAACGAGACCCAAGTGAGAACCCCTCGAAAAGATTCTCGGCTCTCTCCTCGCTTCGTTCTACTCTATTCCATGGTTTACTTTACAGAACAATCGTACAGATATATTGGAGTGTCTGTCAGTTTTGATCAATGAAAATAACAGCGAGAATGGCGATAAAGAGGAACTAACGTTGAATGAACAATTGTTAGCAGGTGGCACGACTCTAACAGCTATAACATTGCCAGATGGGACACAAGCATTTGTTGCTAATAACTTTAACGATGCTGGTTAGAAGTAATTTCGATATCTAATGCATGCACGAAGAAGAGTTTAGAAAGACCTGATCAGGCATTATAAAACTGATATGTTTATTCGATGCGTTTTAGATGATTTAAAGAGACAAGGAACGGTAGAATTAGAAAGTGGAGATACGATATTCGTGAGAGATGTAGCAGACTTCGCTGAAGGCAAACCACTGCACTTGGAACTAGAAGGAGGAATGCTAGTACAAACTCGTGGTACCACCGTGGAAAATGTTGAATTTATCGATGGCGATGCTTACATGGTGGCCGGCCAGTTCGACGTTAGCAAAGATTTATGGGAGATGGAAAATGGCAAACTGAAGAAGAAGGACTCTGCGATCTTATTAAATAAACTCTCTACATCGAGAATCAGGCATCCCTGTCCAAGAGAAGGCTGTTCAAAGGTTTACAGCACGCCTCATCATCTCAAGGTAAAATTCGATCTTAATCCGATACGATCCTTGCTGACAAAATAAAATAATTATCTATCGATTAAATAGGTTCACGAGCGATCGCATACCGGCCAACGGCCATACAGATGCACGCACCCTAAATGTAAAAAGAGCTTCTCGACGGGATACAGCTTGAAAGCGCACCTGCGTACACATACGGGAGAAAAACCATACAAATGTCCAAATGAAACTTGTGATAAAGGTTTCAAGACATCCGGAGATTTACTGAAACACGTCCGAACGCATACGGGAGAACGTCCCTTCGTATGTCCGTTCGATGGCTGCGGTCGTTCCTTCACTACGAGCAACATCAGGAAGGTACGATCTGTTCAAGACTCCATTGATTGCAATTAAAATAAATTTGATATTATGCAGGTTCACGTTAGAACGCACACTGGCGAACGGCCATACAAATGTATGCAACCTAAGTGCGGCAAAGCTTTCGCGAGCGCGACGAATTACAAGAATCACATACGAATACATTCAGGCGAGAAACCGTATGTCTGTTCCATCGAGAATTGCGGAAGGAGATTCACGGAATATTCTAGTCTTTACAAGCATCATCTTGTTAGTTATTTTATATTATTGTCATTTATTTGATCTACACCGTATACTTGAATATCTGTTTCTCTTTTTTCAGGTTCACACGCAACAACGTCCGTTTGAATGCAAAGTTTGCTCGAGGAGATACAGGCAGAGCAGTACTCTCGTGATGCACAAAAGAACTGCTCACGCGTTAGTCGACAACGACGATGACAACGTCGATGTTCTGTGCCAAGAGCCTACTCAAGAGTCGTCTAATCGATCTAAAGACAGGCGGAAAATGAGTATTATGCGCGATAATGCTAGTCCTTCGTTAAAGATTATGGAAAAAGACGGCCAGATTCAGATTTCGAAAGCGATCGACGATTTGAACGATAACGAAACACAGATTCTACTGGTCGGCGATCCTTCCCAAATAGCTGCGTTACAGGTTTGTTGTCACTCATTTTAAATAATTACATGCTTGGTTACGTGCTATGATTTTTATGCTTCACTGGGTTTACAGAAAATCGAGTTGAACGGGGAATTCGACGAGCCTGAAATGGACGCTTCGTTCGAAGGACTAAATATAAAGATCGAAGACATAGGACTTGGCTGGAACTGATGACTTTTAATCATGGGATTCAACTATACTATAGGCCTATCAGACACTGAAAAGCGTTTCTCAGTTACTCGTTACTTAGGACAAGAATGTATCATCGCCAGAATATAAATAAACTAGATTGAAATTTTTTAATTCTAAATTCTTTTATATCACTCCACCTTTCTTGGGCTCGTCTTTTTATGTATTTGCTAAGATATCTCAGGGTAAAGCTCGCGTACGTCGTCAAAGTAAAAGGAAAGACAAACGGAAATTATCTGCCAACTATGACCGCGAAGAGAGATCATCGATTGTCATTAGCACGAGTTTACTAACCAAATAACTTTATTAACATGTCCAGGGGTACGAGGCTTGCATTTTTCGAACGCTTCCAGTTACGCGCGAACGTCGATTCGGATTTTACTTTTGCGCGTAACGTATCTCCTGTTAATCTGTCGCTTATCCATCTCATTTACTTAACTATTCTTTTTCAAAGTCCGTTCTTATCGTACTTTTTCTTCATAGCTATTCTCGAACGAAACGAGTTTAGTTTTCGAAACAATCACGATAAGATAAAACGATAATTTTTTAAAGTGACATTTCGAGAATTCAATTCTCTTTTCGCGTAAACTTGTTGACCTTGGAACTTAGCACTCTCAGAACATACGTTTAAAGCAAGGGACGTTTAAAATCAGTACAGAAAGTAAATCCGGTCATAACGTATCTGGTCATCGGTCTGACCGCTTCTCGTTCCTTCCTCCCACTGATAGAGAGACCGATTTTCGGGCACATGTGTGTACCCTATTACGCACAGTCGAACGACTCGCGTTGCACGAGGATACTCGTTCGTGTGTACTTGTAATTAGATGAAGAGTAATTTTAACATCGTGATTCGTTAAACATCGCTCTTCAAGCGAGCAGTGGGACATTTTTACTTTAAGCGAATAAATAAAAGTTCCGGTCGCTATCTATGAATCAGTGGTTTCACACGCGTACGTGCGATGCATACGCGGACACTTGCTCCAGATTAAACGTGATACATTTCACGTGATGAAGAAATAGACCACATTTCCTTTTCATAATTTTTCGGAGGAAACTTCGACACGTACATAAAGACATTAAAGGATCGCGATCTATTCCAGTTTGCATTTCAAAGAAGTGGAGAACGCATCACGAAAATGCCGTCCATAATGAGAATGGAAATTAAAATGACAAGAGTTAATTAGAGATGTAAACCACGAGGGATAAACGAAGACTTAACGTACGAGCTAGACGTATTAGAACACGTATGGGCGAATTGTGCTCCATGTCCATTAAAAGGTTTGTACATAAACAGATTTCCATGAAACCGAAAGATAATCTATCTTATTTTCTTGCAACCGCAATCAGAACCTTATCAAACGTAACTACATTATTTTATTCCAGCAATGGCTTATTATCGTAAGTATTTTTTGTCTTCGTTGCTACTGCCGACGGATTAATCCACGTTTGGTCGGTGGTATCTGGCTTTAATGCCGTATACGCTGTGTAAAGAAGATAAGCCATTGTTGTACTACCAATCTATGTAATCGTTAAAATAATATAAAATGAATACCAGATCGTTCAACAATTTCTACAAGTTTTTTCTGTACTTCATCTGTCCACCGAGGAAAGATTACTAAAGAGGATCATGAGACTTTACGTCGCGCGATCAAATCTGCAATTTCTTACGCCTTTTAGACTAGATTGCCACCGAAATAAGAAATAGAAAGCGGATTACGTCGGTGCTGGACAGTTACCAGATACAAGAAAGGTCCTATGCAAATTTCTTCTAATTACATTCTTTAAGAAATAATTCGTGATGAACGAAATGATTAATTGATTACTTCTGAAATATTCGAAATAGAAGAAAATTGTATTCGACTTTTTTCGCAGGTAATAGCAGTGCCTACAATCTTTATTCGAAGCATTTCTTAAAATTTTGAGAAAAAAATTTTTAATTTTCCCGAGATTTTGCCAAGGGGTGCCTTCACTCTTTGAGATTTTCATTTTTCCTCAAATACTCCTAAACCGTTGGACTTACGGAAAAATTGCATAGGATCTCATTTGTAAGTACCGTCAAAAGCTACGAATTTCTTATGAAACATTTTTTTCTACCGTCAATAGTTAACGAGTATTTTGCAAAAAACTGTTTCTTCAGTTTTAGTCAATCACTCGTTAACCATTGACGCTGGCGAAAAATGTTTCAGACAAAAATCGTAGCTCCAATTGCCAAATACAAAAGACGTCCTACGCGATTTCCTTCTAACTCCACCGAAAAGAGTGACCACCGACTGTATTTTAGGCCTCATTCGCCGTCCCAACGATTACACGGACACTGCCACTCTTCAGTAGTATTTCCCCGGTGATCTGTCCCATTAATTCTTCTCTCGACGCGGCAATGAATATTAGACGTAAATATGAGGAACTGCACTACCGAGTGCAAACAAGCTTCTCTCATAAATCAACCGATCCTGTCCTTCTTTCAATCAAACAGAATATATTGCATTTTGAAAAATACACTGGTGCGAATTACGTAAACTGTTGAAGGGAATGTTTAACGTACTGCGTGGTGCCAGAGTAATAACTGTAACCGCTGCTTCCCTAACAAGTCCGAGCATAAAAACGAGACGGTCAGTATCTCTTACATTCAACGAGATACTCATTGTCAATTTAATCACTATTACGCGTGCGGCAAAGGTTACTTCGAATTCTTTTCGTTTCATTGAAACAAACCGCGTCTTTCTCGCGCGCCGCTCAGAATTGAAATCAGTCTCTCCTTTGTCGTGCAAATCCTCCTTTCGAGACAATGATCTGAATAAACGATTTATCATACGACAAGTGCTCCACATCTCGCTTGTTACGGTCTTTAAGTAGCCGTGCAGTTAGTCCTAATGTACGGTGCCAAGCATACGTGTGAGGAAGTTCTTACTTCATAGATCATTGTTATCAATAATAGAAGATCTTACGAGATTTCTAAGAAACTTTTGAGAAAGGTATCGATTGTTTCGCAGTGCATTGCAAAAATCTAGATCGTATGGTACTTTTTCAGATCGTTCGCAGTGATCTCTATCTCGATGGATTGAAGAAATAATCGCATTATCAATAAGATGCTTAGTTGTTGGTACTTAAAAACGATATCTAATGGAAACCGTCATCGAGAGAGAAGAAGGTGATCGCGAAATCTGAAGAGATATCACGTGCCGATATACGGTAGTCCAGCTTGACCGTTTATAATCCGTCTGGTTCTAGTGCCGTGATAGTACGATTCGCATTGATACTCTGCAACGACCGGAGATATTCTTCCCGATGAGACTGAAAAAGGATTCGCACATTCGTTGTTACGCGGCGGATCTTCGTAGCTGTTCTTGACACAGTTTTCTCACGGTGTACTATCGGCACGAAGAATGTCGAAGAAGCAATGGCTGGTCCTGCTGATGCTGTTTCTGACATACTTATTGCTAGGTGCATCGATCTTTTACCATATCGAGAGCCGGTTGGAAATTAAGCGCGTTGAAGAAGCCAGGCGAGAACGCATTGAGATCAACGGTGAGCATTAGTCGATTTTTTTTTATAAAAATAGAAATTAAATAAATCGGACAACGGCACTCGTTTGCTCCGTTACGAGATCGATCGACTGACCGTGAAATCATTGAAACCGGCCACTCCTCTCCGGTAATTACTTATTCGGGAAATTTAACGATCCCGAAAGAACGATTTCCTACCATGCTCTACTGCTAATCCTAAATCCTAAACGATGATAACAATTATACGATCGCCGGAATGCACGAATCCTTAAATGATTTTATTCATTAATTATGTTTCACATGATAAACGATATAGAGAGGAAGAGAAACAGAATGATAAGATAGCATGCGGTAGTTCAAACGAAACGTCATAGATATATTCGAACAAATTAAAGGAGATCGTTTTGTTTAACTGATTATCACCCTCTTGACTTTATTAATGTTCTTCAAATGTAATCACGAGAATCGTATCGGTACGAAATCGTGTGATAAACATTTCTTCGAATTGCAGCTATGCTCCATGAACACTACGTACCTAACGGAAATCAGGGCTTCGAGAAAATCCTTAAAACATTGAGCGACTACTGTGGAAAATCGGTTCGCAATTATACCGACGACGAACAAGATCCTTTAAAGTGGGACTTTTATAACAGTTTCTATTTCGCTTACACCGTAGTCAGTACGATAGGTACGTAACAAGTAGACCGTAGATTTTATGCATTTATGGAAAAAATTGAATGTTGAGTATAATCTTTACGTGATAAAAGAACTTTTTAAGCTGATACCATGAATTTATATAAAAGACCACAGTAACAAGCGATTGAATGAATGAAAATGATCTAACGATACAAATAATAATGTAGGATACGGAAACTTGGCCCCGACGACTATGCTAAGTCGGATCCTGATGATATTCTACGGTTTGATAGGAATACCTATGAATGGAATATTGCTTTCGCAGTTAGGAGAATTTTTCGGGAACGTGTTCGTTCAGGCCCATCAGAAATACAAATCTTACAAACGCAACCGTAACGATTATGACCCGAGGAAATTCGTGACGTTCGAAAAGGGAAAATTCGGATTAGTCGCGCAGATACTCATACATTTATTACCGGGATTCGTTATGTTCATTTTCTTCCCCGCGTTTCTGTTCTCTTATTACGAAGGGTGGAATTACGACGAGGCAGTTTACTATGCCTTCGTCACATTGACCACTATTGGTTTTGGAGATTACGTGGCAGGTCAGGCAAAAGTTTTACAGAATTCGATAGAGTAGGAAAACGCACGGTCTATTAAATGTTGACGTTCAACAGGGGATAATTATAGTAGAGTTGAAATAAACGGACTCTTCTTTACGTACGTCTACAAGATCTTCTTAATCGGTTGGATCTCGTTTGGTCTCGGATACACCGTCATGATCTTGACTTTTATCGGTCGCGGTATGCGCAGTAAGAAGATTGCGAGGATCGAGCATAAACTAGCGGTCAATCTGAAGCATACGCAGAGTAAAATCTGGAATGAATTTAACAAGGAGATCGATTATCTCCGTCGCGTGTTTAACGAACTACAGCTCTCGAAAGTCAGGGTGAGCATCTCTGTAATAAATTTATTATACACGTATTCGTTATATATTACATTATGTATGCGTTTCAGAGAGTGTACGTCGATGAATGTAATTCCGAGGTTCCTGTTTCGAAAATTCCTCGGAGCAGCAGTATGCCAGATCTCCGAAGTTTATTTTACGGTTTAAAGGAAAAAGATACTCCTTGTTACAAACCTCGCCGCCGAGCCAACAGCGAAGTTGTACCAATGGTAAATAAATATTTACTCTGTCTCTTTAATTAAATTATTTATAAAAATGTGTTTTAGGAGAGCGAAGTGAAGCACGTCGTTTCCGAGACGGATCTACAAAGGATCGACAAGACTGCTACGTTCGCTTCTCACGCGATTGTCCAGCCAGCAGAATTATTAGCGAGATTAGTAAATATTTTAGGCTACATACCGCCAGCTACGGATGACATTAATGAAGTCGGATCGGATCAAACGACTTATGTTGTAAATGAAAAGGAACACGGAAAGACGTCTAACTCGGGTCAAGGAATGTGGGCGATTGGTCACGATAAAATCCCACGTTTCGGGAAACCTCGTTCAAGAGCGGCTAGCGAAATCAGATTGCAAGATACAAGACGCGAGGATCCTAACATTGAACGTACTTGGTCCGGGCCGACTGCGGCCAGAAAAATGCATGAACTGATGAAAGCCCGAGCGAACGAGGAATCCGGGAAGGATCGCAGTATCAAGGAGTCTAAATTCGCGAAACTTCGCAGTTTCGCTTTGTCGAAAACGGTGCCAAAGGCATTGTCTTCTAGTTGGAGAAATCGTTTCTCCCAAAGTTCGGACAAGAAAAATTCGGAATGCGATAATGAGACTAAAGATCCGGGTCAATCGTATTCGATCGACGATAATCGGGATTCTTATTCGGCTACTTTGAATCCACGACCACATTATTTTACGCACACGGGTGCTGGTAATAATTTTAACGCAGAAAGTGGGAATAATTTGTTGGAAGAGACCAGTTTGGCCGACTTCCTACGAGCCCTCACTGTTCTTCACGCAAGCGTTGCTACGAGTGGTAGTTGGACTCCTGCTACAAACGACGATCCAAATAATCTTAAAAATCATCCTCGGAGAAAAATGGGTACAGCTTCTTTGACGCCGCCCAAACTTCCCAGTTTGTTCACGCTTTTTTCACCATCCCCGCCCGTGTCGAATAGTCAAAGTAACGAGAACACGATCACTGAAGAATCTATCGAAAATAAACCACGATGGTCTCAAATTCGTCGTCAAGACCCTCCCACGGTCGCGAAAACGAGAAGATTCTCTTTGAGGCCTGTTGCAACACCTATCAGCCCTCCGACCCCCCCAAGAGTTAGCTCGCCATTTTTATCGGTGAGTTAAATTGTTTTTCTTACTACGGTACACTCATTGCCAGTGTAAAACAGCCTGACGTTACGACTAAAGTTACTAACTACTAAATATGCATGCAAAATGTTTGTTTTTCAGAACTCACGGAGAGTCGACGTTCCCGCGTCTTCCGATCCGAAGTCCCAATTCCTGATCGAATCGCCGAAGGTACCACTTATCCAAACTGAAGGAGCACCTGGCCTCTCGTCGCCTGTAAAATCCTCGGTAGATGCCCGGCGACTTTCGTTACGATCTACACAAAACGTTTCACCGATAACAGGGACCACTGTTCCAACCGGCATTCCTACACTGAAAGGTGCACCGCGCTGGAAAGCCGGCATGCTCCAACGGCAAATCAGTCAAATGAATCTTCGACGCCGGGTCCGCGCTTTTAGTTTGAGCGACGTTCACGCAGATGATTCACAAGACGGCACCGAATCTTCGAGTGTTTACAGGATAAACAACCGCGATATATTCCGTAGGAACGTTTCCTCGCGCGACGACGAACGTTCTGGTCAATTGCCGAGTGTTAATCGCCCCGATTCAATTTCACAACCGACATGTTCCGCAAATTCGACGAGACTACCGGAAACTAACGTTTCGATCGGGGATATCGATAGTTCGAATTCTCGATCCGGAAGTGGTCAAGTGCAATTAGTACTGTCTAACGATTATCGAGCAGACGCGGAAAAACAAATGGCCTTGAATCCTCTTATGAACCCTGAATACGTGCGTGCAAGTACTGATATGGAATTACAGCAACCGTTAATGGAAATAAAAGTAGAGAATCCTGATCCAAATAAACGTTCGTAGCCACAAGTGTTCGATCGAGCTTATGAAGCTTGGATCGAAAGATTTTTGTACATACAACTATGCTGCCGTCCATTTTAAACTTTTACGATTTTCATAAACAATTTCAACGCGAAACAGATTATCAGATTGTTCTTACTAGTGATCCACCTGACGGATCACTAGCTTTTACGAAATGTGAAGAAAAACGAGGGAATTGTCAGTATGATTCCTGAAAATGTTTTATTTGATTGATACAATAAATTATATTTTATTTAATTTATAAAAAAGGAACGCAAGGCTGTGTTTCTTCTAAGAACTAAATAAAGTGCTGTGTACTATATAAATATAAGTAAACTTCGCGTTTTACACGAGATCTGGCAGATTCCACACAGTTTGGTATTGTTTTAATTAATTAAAATTATTTTCATTGTTTCCATAATCTTTCTCGTATAGCTTCTACTAGATTCGCACGTGGGACCGTCACTTCGGTGCGAGTCGCCACCTCTCGTAACGTCACTTCTCCTCTTGCCAATTCTCCCTCCCCAATTATTATAGCCAACGGTATCCCGCTCTCCTCGCAGTGCTGTAATTGCGCCAGCAATTTCGCACTCTTTTTGTACGAATGCTCGGCTCTCAAACCAGCGTTCCAAAGAATCGTTAAGAGTTTCATCCTTTCCTCGTGTAGATTTTTCTGCGCCGCTGCCACGAATACGTCGACTTCGTTCGTACGCGTTTTTAAACCTTCGCGAACGAGTTTCGCCTCCAAAACACTGAAGATGCGTTCGACTCCCAAAGATAGACCAACGCAAGGAACAGTCTTCTTTTTATTATCGAACATCCCTACCAAATTATCATACCGGCCGCCACCAGCGACGCTACCAACACCGACTTCGTCCCCTGCAATAACAAAATCATTCGTTTTTAATTTCTGTATTTCCGGAGGAATTAATCGAGAATTTACCAGTTAATATCGCCTCGAAAATTATGCCCGTGTAATAGTCCAGGCCTCTCGCGAGGCTAAGGTCGAACTTTACTTTGTCTGTAACTTGGAATATTTCGCAATACTTGAACAGCAATTCGATAGCTTCGAGCCCTTTCACCACGGAGTCGTGCTTCATCAATTCCGTGTCGCTCCTTAACTCGGATATAAGTTCCACTCCACCGGATCGTGAAACGTACGTTCCAATTTTATCCGCGCTCGATTCGTCCAGCCCTTTTTCCTCGATTATCTCCTTTCTCACTTCTACCCAGGGACTCTTGTCGAGTTTATCGATGGAGGAACACGTGGCACGGAACTTCTCAGCCGGAACACCGCAAGCGGCGAATATACCGTCCAGCAATAGTCTGTGATTCAATTTAATCAGGTATGGTCCCACATCCAGGGATTGCAACGCTTCGGAAATGATGCGAATGCACTCCGCGTCTGGTAGCATAGGGTCATACTGGCCAGCTATGTCGAAGTCCTTTGTTGGAGAAGAGATAGGTGAAGAACGAGTTCGTCGATAATACAATTCGTAAGAGATGGTCGACTTACACACTGGTAGAATTCTCTGTATCTACCTCTCGTTGTAGACGGATTATCCCTTCGATAGACTTTCGCTATGTGATATCTTTTTATAGAAGAGATCTTCCCCATTGCCAGATATCTAGCAAAGGGCACGGTCAAGTCGTATCTAAGTGCCAAGATCTCGCCTCCCTGATCTTTCAAATCGTAGATCAGTTTCGAATCCTCTCCATACTTCCCAGTCAAAACTTCCTGGATTGAAAATAATGAACATCAGGAACATAACGAATCCAGTTATGCCAAGTACTTCGAAATTCCTCCGTACTTTTAATTCGAACACGGGAGTGTCTATTGTCTCTCCGCCATGCTTTTTGAAGACGGCTATTATTTTATCCAATGCTCCAAGACGTAATGCCATTTGTGCAGGATTATAGTCCCTCGTGCCCTTTGGTGTCTTAAGAACAAACTTGGAAGGTGCGACATCCTTCTCCGCCAATTGAGCCTTCAATTCCAACAATTTACCAACCTCCTCTGCTATCTACGCAAAATTCGACTGGAATTAAACCGTGCTTGTACGACGAGTACACGAAACTTAAATTAGATGGAGTTCGAAGACGCTTAATAGGGTATCTCGTTTTTCTGATTCATCGAAGTTCCCATGCAATGTGCATACCTTTACGTTTGAAAGAATCGACGGACGGCAATATTTTCGTGTAGGAAGGATGGCGTTGGTCCACATCCAACGCAACATCGCATACGACCCAGTCATTTTAAAAGAACCAGAATCAAAGAGAAAAGTCCGCCTCAATGTTGATTATTAAACTGGCCCAAGGAAGAAACAGTGCCATATAAGTTAACAAGCAAATGCTATAAATTACGTGATTAACGTTTCGATTTACGTGAAGAATGCAAGAAGCAATGCCCGTGATCAAGAATCGTTACAATTTTGGGAGGAACGTTATTCGATAGAAGCGATACAGACCAACTTATGAAGTGAATTTATAATTTATAGCAAGTTTGCTTGCCGCAAATAACGACCTCACCTTTTGATCAATCGTATTCCGGTCGAAAGGGCAAACATTAATTAGACTATCAACGTTTCTCGCCAACGAGGAGACTGGACCTTTCGGCTCAGGGAACTTATCACGTTCGACTTGATCGAAGCTTTGCACGTTTACGAACCATCTTTTCAAGTATGTCCATTTCGACAGTTGATCGTCGACAACGAACGTGGTGCAAAAATTGAAAAGAACCGCATCCTTTGTGGTCGGCGTCCAACCACACACGTAACTTACATCCGCGAGATCATCGTTTATGCATTCTAATTGCTTTTCGACGTCCGAAAAGATACCTGAATCCTAGGGAATGAGAAACTGTGATCTATGCCAGAGGTTAACGTCTACAAATCAACGTGAGAAACGGGCAAAGCAAGTAGCGAACAGAAGATCCGAGGAGGAGGCACTGTTTTTCGTAAGAAATCATTCGCGAATAATAAATAAAGTCACATATATTTCGATTGGCAAACGTCGTAAGTGGAGCACGTGGAGATGAGACCAGAAGACAACGCCTCTGCATTTATAGATCCGTACAATGAAAAGAAAAAAAATTGTTCAAACCGTAAACCCACCTGAGAGTTGTTCGCTTTAGCAGCTTTTAGTTTCCGTACACGCTCTGCCTGTTCCTTCACTCGTTCCAATTTTTGTTCGACTTCGTCAGCCATTGCGCGCGTCATCCGAACCTTCACCGTCGAATCCTGAATGCCAATTCCAAATGTTCAACCCAACGCGGCATCGCTGTGCTTTCCAATAGGTTATATATCACGACAATTCCTTTTACTGTCTGCTGCTCACTTTTTGCGCGTTGTGATGAAACACCACTATTCTTTTACAACAGAATGCCCGATCGAATTATTTATACTAAAGTAATCAGTATATTAATTTAAATCTTCGGAAAAATGTAATGCGATGTGAATCATGAATAAAGATTGAATATAAAGAGATTTTTTCTTCATTTAAACACTTTATCCTTATTCCTTGGATCTCAAACTTTAATTAAAACTGAAATTGTTAAGAAATACAATCTAAAAACGCGATAATTGATCAATGAATGATCAATGATGAAGTCCGACTGCAGATGGAACGCTGAAAGCTGTTTCATTATAAACATTTAATTGTAGGAGAGTTTAATTGACAAGATAGTATCGTATAAGTTCATTATCTAATCGTCTAAACATATTTTTTCAAAATCCAAAGAGCTCGTCTGCTCGAAAGAATATTTTGGCGTCATCTACTGTAGAGTGACCAAACCGAACAGCAGCTAAACACTCACACACCGAGAATGAGATATTCTTCAACACACATATTGTCCCCAATTGTTAATAATGATTCCAAAACATTATGTCCGAAGCAGAGGAATTCGCAGTTTCTTTAATTAATTATAGGAGAGAATTTGTGAAATTTTTCTGACTGCGTTTTCTTTATTGAAATCCTAGCTTCCTTCCACTACGAATTTTTTCTTCCAATATTCTGGTTGATAATAATAAGCATATTTGAAATATTTCAAGACCACGCGTATGCGCGTATGTATTATAATAAATTCACGTAGGGATCAAGGATCATGCGAGGATCGCTCCTCGGGGTCTCTATAAGCATCAGCAGTAGGGGCAGTAGGTGGAAAATGGCGACATCGAAAAGTCAGCGTTGGATGGTAGATTCCGGGATTCTACGTAAAAAAAATGGGGAAGAAGAGCCGCAGGAGCTGTTGGTGTTTGGCTATAGCTGCAAATTATTTCGCGATGATGACAAGGCGAAAATGATTGATCAGGGGAAACATTTGATACCATGGATGGGCGATAGCACGTTGAAGATAGACAGGTCCGTTTCTCTAACCTAGGCAAATCTTATCTCATCTAGGATATTAATAATTCTCGCATAAATGCACCCGAAAAACACGTTGTAACCTGTAGAAGAATAATGTCTGAGTCCGAAGCTAAGCACATAGGCAGCAGTTCGGAAAATGTCGAAGCGGGCTACAACATGGTTAACGTACGGATAAGCAATCTGGAGACTGTTTAAGGTTTCCGCAGGTGGTGCCGTGAAATAGGCGGTGTGGATGCGCGATATACCTATGTATCCGCGATCTACACGGCCGTAGAGCAGCGTGCTCTCATCACGTTCGTGTTCGTGGCTGAACGTCGCCAGCAGCAAGGTGAGACACAGCGTAGAGAGACAAACGGCAGCTGACGATTGTAGGCACTACAATCGTTCAGCATGGTATGTATTTTATTACCGGCATTAACGCGCAACGCGGTTCCTGTGCTTCTCCTTTGGATTCGTATATTTACGAGAGACCGATCGCGGATCTTTATTTCTCTTGCCCTAACATGTACAATTGTCATCTGAGTAAATTCGAACAACGCTACATAGCCCTCGCATTAAATTTCCATCTCGATTCGGATTATTGTTTGTAATCGTGAACTCGTACCGGCGCCGACGATCGAATAAAAGCTTAAAAGTATGTCACAAAGTGTTGTATAATCGTCTTCTATATTTCAGAGGAAGTTTGATTTTGACTCAAGCAGGTTTTGCTTCGTGACATAATTTTCAGATGCCGATAAAACGAGCAATGTCTCGAAAACGCGTGCCGTCTTCTACCTCTGATACGATTTATGTATGTGTATAGATACGATGGACGCGGTGCGCTGGGGGACCTGCGGATTTACGAACCGCCGACAGGCGGGTTCGATCAAAGAACCATCCTTACGGAGGACGAACTGAGAGTGGAGCAATTATGCGATGAGGAACGCTATCGGTCACTGTACAACAACGATGTGGAGGAATCCGTGTATCACGGTAAGTTCCTCGTGTCGACGCGCGATGCATCGAAAGGGAACGAAGTTTTCTTTACACTTTCAGAGGAGGAGATGAAAAGATTGCGTCAGGCTCTGGATTCGGAGAACGCGTACAGTCAAGTGGCGTACGACTACAATGAGGATGGGAATGCGGCGAAAGCTACCAGCGAGGACTCACAAAGTCCGAAGCGATCGGAAGGCTCCCAAGAAGAAGATCAGGCCTTTGTTCCACCTCCCGAATTAGAAATTCCGGAAGGAATTGCACTGGTTGGTACTTGCGATCGGATGAGAGAACGTGTGGATCGTGATCTCATTGATTTTCATCGATTTCAGCCGGAGACACAAAAATTGAATGCCATTATAACGAAAACAGCGCTGTTTATAAGTCGCCAAGGCGGCCAAATGGAGATACTGATTAAAGCGAAGCAGGCGAATAACCCTCAGTTTTCCTTCTTGTCGATAGACGGACGGCTTCATCAATATTACAGATTCGTATTGGACGCGATCAAGACTGGAAAATATAATCCAGAAAAGCCGCCTGAGAAGGAAGAATCCGGTACGCATATTTTGTTTAACTTAAAAAGAGAAAAGTGAAAAAAAAATATCTTACGGTAACATTGTCGTACGCGACAATGGTCTGCCGTGTTAAAAATAATTGAGAAGACTTAAAGCAGGATTTGTTTACCCACATCTACTTTGATTCTACTTAGTTTTTCCGTCCGTAAGTATTGCCACGTTACATTTGTTAACCGAAGCCAATCTCTGTGCAACATAGGAAGCATTAGTAAGCCTGTACATCCGGACCTCCTATTTACTTATATTCTTTTCAATGGTAGAACACGAAGAAGGATCGTCGGATCAAGACGATGAACCGTATCTTCATCCAAGCTTGGCATCGTCGCTGACCAAGATAGAAGCGGTACGTTCCACCAACCATTCGCGAATATATTGCGCGGACATCGAATTTAATCGTTAATAAATCTCGATTTTAATTCCAGGCACCCAGCATTCCGAGTATACAGTACAAACCATCAGCCGACTGCGCTTATTCGATGCTCGTGAACAAAATAACCGGAAAGCCGCCACCTTCGAAAGCACCGTTACCACATCCCGAAGCGATTCAACCGGCAACAACCACGGGATACTATCACCTCGCGCCAGGACAGGTAAACATTAGTATATACGATATGCGAGACTGAGTTTAAATAAATAATTTCACTCCAGGCTTACAGTCCCTATCCGAGCACGGTACCAACGGCGGGGACAGCGTCAGCAGTAGCCGCGCCTGTACAGTACTCTCACGGCCCGGTAATATACGGACAATTGCCAAACGGGCAGATGCAGCCACCTTTACATCTCGCCTCGGTGAATCTAATGCCCGTGAACGAAACCGTCGCGACGCAAGTCTCGATGATCGAGCAACCGTCGTTAGTGCCGTACGGTAACACGCCTCAGAAGCAGCTGAGCAGGCCTTCGTTCATCGTACCACCCGCGGACGTACAGATAATCATCGACAAGATGGCCAGCTACGTGGCGAAGAACGGTAGAGACTTCGAAGCTATTGTGAAAAACAAAGGAGACCCGAGGTTCAACTTCTTGGAGCTGTCGCACCAGTATCACGGCTATTACGCGCACAAGTTGACGATATACGAGGGCGCGGTGAATCCGAAGGTGTTGACAGAAGAAGAACTTCTGCAGAAACAGGAACCTCAGGAAGAGAAACAGAAGAAATTAGAAGAATTGCAGAAGAAGCAACAGAGGATGGAAGAAGTGCAGAAAAGAGTGAAGATGATACAAGCAAAGAAAAAATGTGAACCGAGGACGAGTCAAGGAACGACGAGTTCGGAAGGAGTCAGGCAAGTGACGACCGTGTCGTTCTCGATAAAGAAACCGAAGGACGGGGACACAGCAGTGATCGAGAAACGGAATGCCCTTCCGTTGGAGGAGAGCGACGACGAGATGGAAGAGAACAAGGATGGACACTCGAGGTCGGGTTCGCCGCAAAATTCGAGCGAGCACGGTTCGTTGACAGCTTCTGGAATCGTCGAGAAGGAGAACACGAGGAAGTTGAGGCACGAGGACAAAGAATTGGTGGATCTGACGGATGAGATTTTAGAAGATTGTCAGAAGGAGATCAGGCACAAGCAAGCTGAAGACAGGATCAAAGACAAACTAGTCGCGGCGGCGAGAGATAAACTGGCAGCCACTTCGAAAGAGAGACAGCTACAATTGGAGAGGAAGAAAAAGGCGGCCGTGTTTTTGAGTCAAATACAAAGTTCCAGCTTGTCGAGGTCTAATCCCTCCACGACTACCTCTGGGCACGGGAGGAAGGACGATTCGGACGAGGTTCAATCCCTTCCTTCGCCATCCGCCTCGCCGTCGTTAGACGATGCGAAAACTTCCTACGATTCGAGGACCAGCGGTGGAAATTCGCTGATGGACAGATTGAAGAGCGCGGATTTGACTGGGAAAAGATCTAGACCGCGATCGAGAAGTCCGAGCGGGAGCCGAAGTTACTCGGACAGGCAAAAGTATCATAAGAAACACAAAAAGAAGAAAAGTTCCCATAGAAGGTAACCGCCAGTTTCTCCGTCGTCCTAATCTTCCTTCTTCGTGCTATCTCATTTGTTGGTTGCAGCAATCATGAAAGTCGAAGCAGCTCACGATCGCGCAGATCGAAGAAGAGCAAGAAGTCGTCCTCGAGGCACAGGTCTCCGTCGCGAACGCCGTCCCGGAGGCACCAGCACAGCGCACGACGAAAGGGAAGCAACTCCTCCTATTCGGATTCGAGTTCGTCATGAAAAACCGCCCGCGAGACTCTTTAAACACATTGCTACGTGTCAAACTGTATATTATATACACGTAAACTAAGTGTATGCACGGCTGCGTACGCGCGCGACTGATCGAGGCGACGATAATTTAATACATACTTTTGTCCACGGAAGTGAAATGAAGAGTGTAAGATTAAAGAATAAACAGGAATTTTAACAAGATGGTACATGACCAGTGGCAACTTATTTCTCCTTTTCCTTGTTCCCATTTCCTTGTCCCTAACGTTTGAAAGCGTTACGATAAGAGGAAATGTACGGAGTGTCGCGATAACTTTTTCGAATTCAAAAATCCTAATCAATAGTTACATTAACATGTTTCTCGATAAATAAGTATTTACGAGAAATCTTGCTGTAATGAACATGAAAATATTTTGACATCCGACCGGAGTCGCAATCGATTGCGTAAGAGTAGATCGCGCGATTTTTTAAATGGGAAAAGTTGTTATCCAACTCGGTGAAGGAACGAAAAACACAGACGCGATTACGCGGCGCGATTCTCTTTGTAGGGTGGCTTCGTTATGTCATGTTACTCGAGTTTCCAGCGATTTATAGACGCGGATGGGAAAAGATCGAGCGTCAGTGCGTCGTTGCGCAATGTCAGAGGTCGTTGATTTAAAGCGTTACATGCACCGATCCTCAACACGAGAGAGCACAGCTTAAACGTGTCGACCAGCGATCTATTCGCGAGTTCTCACTCCTCTTTGACCCTTTAGGGGTTCCCTTGCACTCGACACAAATTGAGTCTCGTCTAAATAAGTAAGCGTCGATAAATGTCTCGTCTAAATAAGTAAGCCAGTAGCTGTTTGTCGGTGGCCAGCGGCATGAAAATAGCATCGATGCCTCATGCACTTAACACCGATCGAATATAAACTGCCCCGAGAGTTTATTCCTTTTTGCACCAAATCAATTGTCGGCTAATTGAGTTTAATAAATCGAGAACGCGTCGCTTGAACTACGCAGAAGGCGCGTGCGGCTCGACAGACACGAGACCGAGCAGACACCTGTTTCAGTCGCGCATTCGTGTCACTCCAGCTCCTCCTTAACGCGATGCATCAAAACCACTCTATTTTTTATAAGCACGATACCTTGACAGAATTTCATTATTTATTTAAAGTTTCTATGCGTAATACTAATTCCAGTCCCCTCCTGCATCTCCTCAGGAGTCTCGCGCGTGGCAAATTAAATTCCCCTCCTCGAAAACGTTTAATGTATCTCGGAATAGGCCAGCTTTTGATAGACGATGAACGAACGTACGTAATTTTTTACTGGCTCCATTCCCAGAATGGTCCCAAGAATTCATTTTCTTAAATCGGATAAAGAATGTCATTCATGAGACACACGCGATAGCTTTGTACGCTTCACTTTTGACGAGATCACATGCAATTATGTCTATTATTGCTTGCGCAATCGTTAACTCGAATCTCGAGACAGGCATTTATTTTTATGTGCTAAAACGTGACTTTCGACAACTGCGTTTGGCGATAAGGAGAGAAAGTGCAGACGAGGAATCATTGGAGTCGATCATTGATCATTGACAGAGCAAAACTTTCCGGACCTGGAAGACAGATAATTCGGCAAAGAGAAAGATAGAAGCACTGTGCGCTACTGGCAAAACGTTAAATTCCATGCACGACCTTCTTTTTTTAATCTCTTGCGCTGTTCTCTCGTCTGTTTAGAAATGTTCGCGAATGTGGTGGGACGAGATAACGTAGTATCGAACATTACACATGTGACCATTGATCAAGCTGAGGTCAAGGGTGAATTGCCTCAGATTTATAAGTTAACTCGATCGTATTGGACTAGTCAGTCAGTGTTGCATGCTGAATACCAGTCGGAACATACCGATACCCCGTAGGACAGATGTCGGCCAAAACACTCGTAAGTAGCAACGAGATCCCGAATTCGTTCTCTTCAAACCGAGCAATCCCTTTACTATTATTTCTGTCCCTTCGTCATTTACATATCGATTAAGCTGACCTAGGCTCGATCACATACCTGAAGATCAGTCGAAAAGCCGAAGAATTTCATGACAGAGAAAGTTAGATAGCAGAGAAAACGATTCTTGCAATTCATTCGTTTTGTATATATGTACCTCGACACCGAATTTTGAAACGTGCCAATGGTTGGCGTGTTCTAAGTAACAAGTATAATTGATTTCCGATAGGCACAGCCTCAAAGACAGGCTACCATTCTCGATCCTTCGGACAAGTACCGACCGGAGTCGGTGTACTCGGGTAAATCGGAGAGCCAGTTCCGGAACTATGCTGTGGATTCGGCAGATCCGGTGAAAGAGCGCGTACGAAAGACCTATCAAATGATGCACACTAATCAAACGGTAGAATTCGTCCGATGTGAGTACACGAATAATAAATCCTGTTCATCACAGAAGTACATTTTAATGAAAGATACCAGACTGATACACGAGAATAAGAGAAAGAACTGATTCTGCAGTGCCTATTTTCTTGAATTTCAGCCCGCATGAAAGAATGGCTGAGTTTCGACAAGTTCAAAATGGCAATAAAAGATGCTCTGACCAAGTTGAACGATCTGGTAGACGAGAGTGACCCGGACACCAGCTTACCGAACATCGTGCACGCTTTTCAGACCGCAGAATCTATCAGAAAAGACCACCCCGATCTAGACTGGTTTCATTTAACCGGACTGATTCACGACTTGGGCAAGGTAAATATTTCTTTTCCAGTTTTAAAAAGAAATACGGAAAAAAGAGGATCAGGAGCCGTTTTCTCTTAGATAATGGCGTTCTTCGGAGAACCACAGTGGGCAGTGGTAGGTGACACGTTCCCTGTCGGGTGCGCCTGGGCCGATTCAATTGTCTACCGAGAGAGCAGCTTCGATGACAATCCTGATGGCAAGGACTCCCGATACAAGTAAGCGAGACAAGAAAACTTGTACAGGTTTTCTCCAACGTAAGACCTTGTAACAGATCGGAAATCCCGTACATATTTTTCTAAGCATAAGACAGAAATCATTACACACTCTCTGACGTGTAAGATTTTCTAAGAGCTTCGCTTCATAAGATTTTCTAACGAACTGTCAATAATTCTCTATGTAACTTTGCTTCGTAGCACCAAGTACGGGATGTACAAGCCAAAGTGTGGCTTAGACAAGCTACTCATGTCCTGGGGCCACGACGAGTATCTATATCAAGTGATGGTGCACAATAAGACGAAACTACCGAAAGAAGCACTAGCTATGATCCGTTATCACTCGTTCTACCCTTGGCACGCGGGTGGCGACTACATGCACTTCTGCACCGCGGACGACGTTGAGATGTTGAAGTGGATCAACGAGTTTAAGTAAGTATTTATAAAAGAAATACGAAGTGTTAAAAGAGCAGAACGATGATAAAATAAAATTCAATTGATTTTGTGTTCCAGCAAATACGACCTGTACACGAAAAGCGGCGACGTGCCAGACATCGAAAAACTGTGGCCCTACTACGAAAAGCTGATAGAGAAGTACATGCCAGGCGAGCTGGAATGGTGAGGTCTCGCTTTCGCATGCAACGATTCAACAACTGATGATCTCGGCCACACCTGGCTACATCATCGAGCATCGATCAAAATCTTTTTCACGATCTGGGCTACAACAAAATGGACAACGACGTACTTATCTTCGCGCAGTGCTAGACGCTGATCGCGACTTATCTCCAGTCTGGAAAACGAGATTCGAATTGACAAGCGCGGAAGGAAAGCAGTTTGACGTTAGTCGATCGAGTAACGGGGAAAAACGATGGGTTGAAAATTTGACTCATCGTTAAAACCTGCACGCGATCTTCCAGAGTGGCAGAGCAGATAACGATCGACCTGGCCTTGTGGAATCGATTTCAGAGGAAGGAGGAAAACCGATGACGAATCAAACGATACCGCGCTGTCAATTAGGAACTTGTAAACTCCTTTACCCCTTAGTTTTCTCCACGCTTGACGCGTGCGTCCAGCCGATCGCTCGGACTTTCATTTGTTGGATCGAATGCCGTGCATTCGGAACGAATAAACGGAAGAACGAAGCATCGTCGCCGCGAGACTCTTCGAACACGTAATAACTTATGCAATCTTTGCCACTAGTCTTCGTTTATGAATAAAGAATTTTTATCGTACGTTCATTCTTTCGTTACGAAATGGGGTAACAGTGCCGATACTTTTATCGCAGGAAAACTGCAATCGACTCTTGTCAATGACAGATCTGTTAGGGTGACGGGAAGAGGGTGGAAGGAAACGGAAGAGGGCAAATTCCTTATGCAGCCGACGCGCAAAAGGTGCCACGGGAAGCTCTATAAATCAAGGGTATGCGTGGTTTCGCGGTTAATCGAAAACGCGCCTCGACTTTCGAGAAGACCCATCGTGGACCGTGAAACGTAACTCGTCTTCCATTCGTTCCCACGTGATCAGCAACGTATGAACGATCGAACGCGAAACTCCCGTCGGACGATCCATAGAAACGGGAAGACGCGCGATCCATTTGTTGGAAAATATCTATCGTAATTAGGCGTGTGTCTATTGCTCGGCGCGATCGGCTCTCGAGTTCGTTGGACGCGAACGGGAAACACTGGTGTGGGGCTTCTTTATTTTTAGCGCGATTCATCGGCATTCTCCGGGAGATATTCGAGCGGAGGCGGACACCGTCTTCGATGACGCCGCCGATGACGACGGTTTTTTCGAACGGGATGACAACGCCTGCCCGGCTTCGTAATCAGAAATCACCGATTCGATTTGAACCGGTTTCACGAACCGATACGGTACTACCGCGAACTGGACCGGCCTCCAGGATTTTCCAAGACTCTTTTTACAACCAGTTCCTCCCAGTAAATTATAATCATATGAATCATAGTCGCAATAAATGATTTATACATAGAAATTGCATACAGTTATGATTCTTGACAGTAGATCAGATTTCTGTTTATCTTTCGATGAATTTGGAGGTCTGCAGATTTGATCCCGTGAAGATTCGTCGAAAAATCGTGGGAGAACGCCGCGAGCGTAGGTTGCCGCATCGAAGAAACGACTCCGTTCGCGAAATTGGCTTAGTCATCGAGATATTACAGAATATTACGGGATATTAACGGGAACGAGCGGCAACCCACCGCTTTTCGTGGAGAATGACAGGCACGAGGGGCGAGCACAGTCCCCCAGCATACAACATACGTGCGACACACTAAATACTCATGAATCATTCCTCTACCTTGCGAGCCGAGCCGATCACTGCTTCCAAGAAAGCTACGCAACGTAATACCCAGGCCTAGAAACGAAGAGGCACACCTACTAGAAACTTTACAACGTTTCATCCCATTCCAAATTTAATCCGTCGATGTACGGGAAGAATTCCGAGATAATGTCGATATAATTTTTCGACTCGCGCGGTGTCTTTGGTTTAAGATTTCTCATTCGTCTTTGCCATGTCAATTAGACGCTGGTCGAAAGGATTCTTGGGAGGATTAATATTTGAAGTGCTCAGATAGCGAGGGCATTCTCCCTTGCGTCACGCGAACCGTTCCGGCTAATTCATTCCCCAGGTGAATCGATTCCACGAAATCGAGCAGGTCTTACTCAGGAGGGTAGTTCCCAGTGTAACCAACCGATTAACGGATCGGATCTTTCGAAAACCGACCGAATATACATATATCGCGTGTTTCGTAGCGACTTTTGACCTCGCGCGATTACTACAATCGCTCTCGGCTCCGTCTCTTGATTTCCTCCTCGTTCCATTTAGCGGTTCTTCCGGTGATAACGAGGCACCATCTATTTGTAAGCGCCGCCGGAAAGTAAAAATTCAACCTTTCTACTTTTACCATAACCGAGATAGTTCGTCCGTTTCCGCGTCCCAAACCAGTTCGCTTCGTTCGAGTCATGATTTCTGACCGATTCAGGCGATATCACTTAGTCGGACGTCATTTATACCGTAATATGAATGTCCGGCGTCAAAACATTTTATTTCCCTTCCCCTCCACGATTTTCGAAGATTTATTATAAAAAAAAACTTGGAGAAAACACGGATTACATGAACCCCGATAAGATTATCTAATGGCTCTGGTAACAGAGGTTTGCACAAGCTTGCGCTACACGAAATCGAGGATCGTCACAGTTCTGCAACTTACGATCTCTAATCCGGACCGGTTCTACCTATAGTAGGTATAAACCGCACGGTTATGCATCGCAGCGAGTACAGTAACAATGAGCGCGGGAGGAGTGCGGCGGGGAAGAGTAATATACATACATATACGAGACGGTTGGCGCGCGCCGCCACGGTATTCAACGTTCGACGGTCTAGAGCCGAGCAAGAAGCTCGGAGCACGACAGTCGATGCGCGACGTCCGAACGGACTGGGGCTGGATTTTGTTCGACGAAATCTCGCGCGTGATAGAGAGAGAGGAGAAGGAGAGAAGGGAATCGAACAGAAACACGCGTACACCAGTTCCCGGTTGAGGATCGTAAATGCTTGATCCGTTCGCGTTTTAAGATGACAGCCTCGGCATCGTCTTCCTTTCTCTCCTGCCGATCACCGTTCCCAATCGGTACTATCTCGTCGACGCGGGCCACGTCGACGACTCCGGCGAAGTCGTCGTCCTCGTGGCTGTGGGTGCTCTCGTCTCAGTCGCCGTTGCCGTCACGCAGGAAGAAGAAAAACGGCTGGACGATCTATTGCGATGGTCACCGTTTCACGTTGAGCGTAACAGGTCGAATTCGATAAAGGAATTCGATAAACAGTGCAAACGAATTTGTGCCGTTCGAACTCGAGGGTACCGGCGGTGTTTCGCCGATCGAAAGGGTGAAGAAGTTAAACCTGCGAGAGTGAAGGGAAAGGATACACGGGCAAGTAGAAGGAGGTGGAGGAAGAGGAGAAGTAGGAGGAGACTCGAGAAGCGAGGTAAAGGGAATTAGATATATAGTAGAGCGAAGCAAGCTGGGAGCAAGGGAGCACGGTAGCGAGACCAAGAGGTGCTCCCCAGGCCGGAGGTGTCCCGGTGGATATCGGGTTCGAACTCAGAACTCTGGCTATGGGAAAGCTGGCAACGACTGGTCGACTCGTGACCCGTGACTACGAGCAACAGCAGGACGCGACATCGGCCCGGTTGCATCGCGGTCTCGTACGGCCGGAAGTTGAGGCTGCGAGAGGAACGGGTTCGATCGTAGGGAGAGACCGGTGGTACACCGAGGACCGTCGAGCGTTTCGAGGATCCTGCAGAGGTGGACGCGGCGGATCTTCCACGGTTGCCGGAAACGGACAACTTTCTCTTCTATTTGGAATAGCGACGATCGTTGCGGTTGCGGCCGTGCCGATGCTCGAGCGGGATACGTCGAATCGTCCGCTCTCTCTGACCGGTCCCCAGCACGGCCTCGACCGGCCGACCGGTCTCGAGGACGTCTACGAGGACGGTTTCGAGGACGCTTTCCAAGAAGAGGATCGACCGGCGACGAGAACCGTCCTCGACGAGACGGAGCTGGATATCATCAGACGCAGCATAGCGCGAGGTCTCGGCCTCGAGAGGATGCCAGACCCTTCCAAGGTGAGTCCTCTCTTCTCCCTTTTCTACTTCTCGCGCGTTCTTAAAGCGGGAGCACCGTCGAGCTTCCGAGATTCTATACGGCACCGTGAGAAATTTCAGGACGAGATAGTCATTTTGTTTTATCAAAGGAAGATCGTAATGATGATGATGACAGTCGGGAGGGGTAATGAAAGAAAAAAGTGGGGGACCAAAAAAAGAAGACCGTTTCGCCGCATTAGGTTCTCTCTCGCAAACGACGAATACGTTTTTATACGAGGAACGTCGACGTGAGAGAAAGTGGTGAACGAGGAATGGGCTGCAATTAGAGTACAAGTTTCGGTGAACGAAGGAGCTGGCGGCAGCGTGGAAAACGTGGAAAGAATAGGAAAGAAGACGTGGGTGGTCCACGTTGCTCCACTTTCGCTAACGCATGCAGGAGCACGTGCGCGTTTCAACGTAGTATGCAGAACCGGCTATCCACGTGCGTACCGGGAGAATGCCACAACTGTTCGCCATGCTCTCTTTTCTTCTCGTTTTCCATTTTCCCTTCCCCCTGTACGTGAGACATCGAAGGAGACTCCCACTACCGCGAGACCGAATTCCTAGCTGGATAAGCGACCGTCTCGTTGATCCAATGATATATAGCCGATACAACAAGGAAAACCGTTTACTCATAGATTTGAATCTAAAGAATGCGATAGTTTGTTTAAACTCGAGTTTTCCTTGTTGATGCATTGCCTGAATCACAACGGGGATTCTGTCGCTGTCGACCATACATTATCCTTTAACAGAAGATCGATCTTCTGCGAGGATTCCTCATCTGGCGGATACTCGAGACACCGGAAAAAAAAAGTTAATCCGTGACTCGCGTGAACAGCTGACGGATCCGGAATCGAGCAGGTGTATGATCGTCCGGTCTAAATTCGGAGCGTTACGCAAACGGTCGATCATCCGGAAATTCTCAAAGCGATCGGGTGAAATCGAAACCTGGCCCCGAGCGAGGGAATCCCGATTGGAATGCGCGAGCGAGATTCGATCGATGACGATAACGGAACGAACGAACGACGAAGCGGTGGCTTGGGCCGGTCTCGTTCCGGATCTCCGCGAAAGAAACACCTGTTGTCGCGAGACCACTATGGCCGGCACCGTCGTCGTCGCGTCGCAATTGTCGCCGTTACGTACGCTTACATACATGTGTACCTTTCATGCGATAACGATTCCCGTCTCTGCTCGAGGACATCCTCGCAGAGAAACGTGAGAACACGCCCGCCGCGACGAGTCAAAAGCGAATAAATACATCTCGCACTCGCGCATATTTCGTCCCACAGTAAATGAAGACAGACGGGACAATAGCTAAGCGTTGTAAAGGAATAGAAAAAAATATGAATTAGAAAATCGGAAAAATACGTTCGTGCTTCACGAGGATGCTCGCGCTTATTCCCACAAGACTTTCGACGTTCGTTTTAGTCCCTCGGCGTAGTTCTGATACCGTGAAAGGAGATGTGACCAGCCGGTGCTGCGAGCACGCACACCATTTCTCCTCTTTTACCTCGTTCAACGATCCGCGGGCACTCCACGCATACCTATCCGTCGTTGGCATGATTTTTAACAAGACCAGACAGGTCGAGTTGAATCGTGACGAGACGCGAAGGCGAGACCAGACGAGAAAAGAAGAAGAACGTTCTCTAACGAGAGTCATTACTTTAGCTACGTTAATGATATCTACAGAAATTGGGTCTCGGAGATGTGAAATCATTTTGTCATTAGATGACGTGAAGAGATAGCGCTGGATAGGATCCCGAGCTCATGATCAAAATAATTACGAACGTGTAACGAGCTTGCAGTTCTGTGTCGCATAGAGAGAGGCATTGGAGGATCTGTAATTTATTCCATTTGGAAAGCTTGGAAAACGGGACGTTGCGAAACGTCCAGCTATGCGTACGGCTCTTCATTTTTCATCTTCGCAGCCGCCTTTCGCCTACGTCATTAATCGAGAGACCCGACGAGATTCGTTATTGTTATGGTTGATAAGGGGAAAGCGATCGATGAGGCGAATGGCGACGTGGGACGGTGAAGCGAAATCGAGACGAAATGATGCCGCAGGTTTCGTCCCTCCTCTCTTTTTCTTGGCAGAGGGGCGAGGGTTACGCGAAGAATGCGGCTCGACTCGTCGATACACCTTGTAGTGTACGACTCGCGGCTTGCGAAAGATCTTTCTTCAGCGTGGGAGGCAAGCAAGCGCGTACATGCTCTCGCGCGGACTGATTCAAGGTCGGCCGGATTGGACTGCCCTCGATAAGATCGAAAAGTTCCCAGAATAATACATATATACATATATATATCCTTTCATCGATTAATAGAAAATGTTAGTTTCGGGTTTTGTGAATCGTTGATCGATCGAAGTCGACCCCCAACGAGGACGAGGTGAAGGAGCCTCGACGAACGTGACACCGATGACCGCCGCTGACCGACCTTTCGTACGAGTCAAGCGGTCGTAGAGGAGTTGACTCGTTGCTCGGGGGTCGGCAAACGACGACGTCTCGTGTGTGTCTCGATCAGCCACGAGCGAATTAATTTATGATTCCTCTTTCGAATGTTTCAAGTTCGAGGGAATACGCGACGAAACGAGATACCCCGTCCGTCTCGACAAACCGGAACTCGAATCAGCCAACTAATAAGCGGCTTTAACCCCTTCACGCCTACCCATGCATACGTTAAAATGACAATTATGTCTTTCATTCATCTCTGTTGCATCTCAACAGTTCAAGAAAAACTTGATGTGCATGAAACCTAAAGATTATTTCTGAAGAGCCCAGACTTCACTTTTTTAAACTGATGTCGAGAATGGTCTATTCTATTAACGTGCAAGAGCATTGGCAAAGAAGAACGGTTTTGGATTTCGAACAAGAGACGCTTAATTTCTGCAACGGAGTTTGCTTAACTCCGTCTGAAAATTTCTGGTTTACGGTCGTGAAGGGGTTAAACAGATCAGGCAGTTAGTTAAACGGCAGCGCGGAGGCGTCCAGTCTGTCTGATCTGACATGACACGCTGACTCATCCCGAGCGACGCAATTCCCTGTTCCTTTGATGCTACGTCTCCGTTGGAACCGCGAGAGTCCAGGCTCAGTGAGTCGCTACATTTTACCGGAAGCCGGAAGCGCGTCTAGGGTGTCTGGGCTTTCTCACAAAAGGAGTAGGCGAAGGGTTTGTCGAGTGTGAACTCGAAAATCGCGAGAGGCCCGAAGGGAGTCGAAAGAAAGGCGTGTGACGAACGTTTCAGGGAGCTCGTTGAACCGCGACTCAATTGCGGATAATTGCTACGCTCTCGAAACAAGCAATTATAAATCTCTCTTAATAAATCGTTGAACCACTTGTTCGAATCTGATTGATGTACGCGAATCTATGGGACTCTGTGATTTGTTTCAGGCAAATATCAGTCAAGCCGAGTACGAGAGAGCGCACAGAGAGTACCTGATGAGAATACAGCACAACGAGCAAACTTTCGGAACGAAGAAAAACCTACACGTGTTTCCCGCAACAGGTAATTTCTATTAGATACGAAAATTTCGCTTCCTCGTTTTGCTATCGGAAATCGCGGCCGTCTTCGGCGAAACGAAATTTCGTACAGACTTCCTGAAAAAATATACATGCGCTCGCTATAATTACTACTCGTGTAAACATCTAGCCCTCGAGTTTCCGCCAGCCGCGGTTAACACTGCGGCCGACAACTTTGCCACGCGTCTATAATCGATGAAAAGAGTCAAAGAAAGAAACGAACCCTGGCAACAGATTTTTCACCACGCACAACGTATAAACTAATCGTTCTCTAAATAGTTTTTGGACAGAGGTACGATCGCTCACTCTGATCCTCTCGCTTATTCGAGATTCGCGTTATTATGAAATAGAAATTCCGGTCGATGGAATGCGGAGTAACGAGTTCCTGAATGCAATAAGGACAAATCGCCGGGGGAGCATCGCGACTATGTTTCTTTCGCGAGCATCGTGTCAAGTTCTCGCGGATTTCTTATTTTCCGCGGCTCGTAAATATCCGTGGTAAATCGACGACCGCCTCGAACGGTAATCCAGTGAAATGAGAAATATTTAAATAAAACGCGTCGGCGTCGAATTCCCGTTCAATGACGCGTCGCATACCTTGCACATCTTGAAATACGCAGGTATACCGAAATACCGCGAATGCCCCAGGAATTCGAGTTTACAATCGATTAAACAACAAATAAAATGTCCGAAATAAACGCGCGATAGAATTCTCGTGTCAGCTGAAAATAGTGTACATCGAATCATTCATTACGCATGGTGTATAGATAATGTATAGTAATGTAAATGGTTCGGAAAGGCGGACAACCAGAACAGCGATAACGTACGAATCTGTGAGCTGGATATCGTTACCCAGCTAAGAGTATCGAGATAACTCAACATGTTTCTTCGTAGTTTTACGATTACTCTCGACAGATTTATTTTATTTTCTCGGACGCCGCCGGGCAACAAGAGCCTCCTATTACACGATGTTTTACGACCGCTACCACACGAAACTGAAACGCGACGCAACGCTAATTCTCCAGGGTGTTCCCCTGCCACGTTTTCGATTACAAAACGGCCACCGACCGACAGGACAGGGAACTTACCTCGTTATACGATTGCTTTGAACGTTATCGCGTTCCCGAAAAATTTATGCTATAAACAGATTCGTGTGGAGACGATCTTCAAAGGCACGGTTCGCATTCCAACATCGCGTGTGTACACTTATTAACGAATTGCCCCGGAATTTGATAATTCGTCTAATTAGCTAATAAAAATGGAACGGACGACCGTAGTTCACTAACCGGATACGCGTTCTCGCGTTCACATGGAAAATGTTTGTTCCTTTGCGTACCGACGATTTCCAGTAAAAAGGAAAAAGATTTTCAAGGCTCTCCAGTTTACGTAACTGACTGCGAATCGTTCTCGATTGTTTCAGCGTATCCTGGAAACGGATCCAGTTGGCTGACCGACATAGCGAATAAATATTCATCCGAACGTCACCGATTGTTCTTCCCCGTGGAAATCCCTGAGGAAGATTACAACGCGGACGTGGATCACGCGACGTTACGTTTGTTGCTTCACGGACCGAACCACTACACCGAGCGTTCTGATCTGGACCTTCTGCTATACCTGAGAACGTCCTCGGGTAGGCGATTGATCACGAGGAAACGAATCGAGCTACAGGATTCACGGATCTCGAGATGGCTCGAACTGGACGCGACTCTGGCAGCTTCCTCCTGGATCGTATTCCCTTTTCGCGAGAATCTAGGCTTGGAACTAGAATTTCTAATAGACGACGAACTGGTGCAATGCACCTTCTCATCGCCCGCCCTGAACGTGTTCACCACTTCTCGAATTCGACGCAGGACGAGGCGTTCCACTCCCGAAGAGTTGATGTCTCTGCACAAAGGTCGGAGGACGAAATGCAAAGGGGAGAGTAAAAAATGCTGCAGGCACGAGCTGACGGTCATGTTCAAGGAGCTCAAGGGTTTCGAGTTCATCGTTTATCCGAAAACTTTTGACGCTGGCTACTGCAAGGGCAGGTGCCCGCCGAGATACAATCCGGCGCATCATCACGCTCTTCTACAGAGCTTACTCTGGAAAGAGGATAGGAAGAAGGTGCCCAAGCCGTGCTGCGCGCCGAGCAAGCTCGACCAACTGATGATCGTTTACTTCGACGAGAACGATTCCACTCAGTTGAAAGTTTCGTTTTGGAAAAACATTCAAGTGATCGAGTGCGCTTGTTCCTGAACGTCCTCTTTACGGACTTTCGATGAATTTCATAGTCACAGACGACTCACCAAAGAATCGTCCGAATAACATTTCGGTAGCGTCTCCGATAATGTATGCGTGTGTATGTAAATATGTATAACGTATGTATATTGTGTTGAAGTATCGCGCGATCTTTCCTTTAGCGTATTCGTTTTCTCGAACGATGTATAATTTGACTTCTCGACACCGTCGATCAACGACTCGAAAGCTGAAGAAGCTTTCGCACTGACTGTGATACTAAAAGATATTTAACGTCGTTTCGGTAGATGTATGGTATTTCGTATTTTAATTAAACGCGTTCTTTTCTATTTCTACCCGTTCCCTTCCTATCTTACTCTCATCGTTATTTCGAACTTCGCGTACACACGAAATCTGATGGAAGACGTCTCAATTTTTCACCTTATAAAAGTAGTTTCGAAACCAAGCAACAAATTCTATGCACAATAAATCTGTCAATAAAATATCAAACTGTATGCGTGTAGCGTTAAAAAACGAATCGAATTCGGACCCCTGTAGCCTCGCGTTGCATGTACTCTGATCGATCATCGATCATGTAAAATAAAACTTAATTCGTTATTTATATGGAAATTCTGTTTTCTTCGATCATAGAAACATGCGAATTGCTCGTCACATATGCATTTACATATTGCACAATGCAATGAATTTCATATCGTATGAAACGCAAAGGAACGAGGAGCATACGAATGGGCAAACTTGTGTGTATTACCGGGGTTATCACTGTACGACAGCAATAAACTTTCGCTGAACGCGTCGTTGTCGCTTACCCTGTACGAGGCCGAAGGTTATTCCGTTGACCGAATTATGCAATACGGTACGATTCATTCATGTATCGTTATCTACAGACGAACCAATTGGATACGCAGACACACACACACGTTCAGGGAAAAGTACGAGGTAATGATTTCGATTTATTCGCCCACAGAAGAATAAAAGAACGAATAATATATATATAATAATCAGAAAATACCATTATCTCCTGTCCGTTTTGCCGACGCCTCGTTTGCCGGAGAACAAATGCTTCGGCATCTTCGTACCGATGAACCGATCCGCTTCTCCCTTCAAACCCTTCTTCGCGATCTTCTTCTTCAAAGCTTTGTGCGCGATGTTCTTTAATTTGGTCTTCATTATCGGATCCTTCACTCCCATCTCGTCGCGCGCCGGTCTTGAACTGCTGCGAGCAACCGATCTCGATTCCGACTGCATACGAGGACGCTTTCTAGCAGGCTGTGACAAGGACCTCGACCTTCCCCTGGTTTTCGTGAAATGCGCGTTTTCCGTGTCTTCCATATCGAGGCCTAAGTCTTCCATCTGTTCTTTCAACTTCGACACGGATCTATCACGAAGCTTGGCCGCCGTCGTACGCGGCATTACGGGCTTCGTGGAGGCTTTCTGTATGCGAGCCTCGTCCTTCATTATAGCTTTCTTATCTCGAATTTGTTTAGCCATTTGCACGATATCGCGCATAGTATCGGACAATTGCGCTACTTTGTAGTCGTACATTCCTGCCTCTTCGCGTAGATGTTCCTCTCTTTCCAATTCATTTAACTTATCGAATATCTCTGGATCGATGTAATCCGCGACATTGTGTCCCTCCCAAATTTCTGGAATGACGTCGAACTTCTGATCGCCTTCTATATCGTAGTTCTTCTTCAAATCGAGAACGTAGTCGTCTCCCATTTCTTCTTCTATTTCTCTTTCCAGTTTTCGTTTCGCCTTCGCTCGTTCTTCCATGCTCTGCTTCTTCTTTAAAACGCTTTCAGGGATGCAAGGCGCGCGGATTTTGTTATCCCTCGGTACAGGTTGCGCAACGTGCAGACGATTCAAGAGTCCCTCTACCTTCTTCGTTCTTATCTTCTGATCCACGCGAAACGCTAACAATCGTTCGCAAGTTTGTATCTTGACGTCCATAACTCCAACGTCTGTCATCGTACTCATTTCCATCAGGGGAATCTCCTTGTCTTCCAGTGATTTCAAGAGCTGTTGCTTCTCCGCCGGGAGTTCTTCGAAACGTAGTACATCTACCTTGTTCAGGACGACTGTCAGGGGCTTGTTCGCAAACAACGGTTTGATCGATTCAAACAGTTTCACCTGAGAAATACAAGAGAATTAGTATCTTCACGCTTCTATTATATCGATTTTTTAAGTTGTTAACGTACTTGATCTTCTAAATTGTGACCGCACTGTTCCGATATGTCACAAAAGTAAAGTACAGCTGCTCGTAAATGCGCGAGTGCAGTTATCGCCTGCATTTCGATCACGTTCCTTTCCTCCAGCGGATGATCCAAAATTCCTGGTGTGTCGATTACTTGCCACCTCAGATACTTGTAATCCGTGTGACCGACGTACAACGATTTCGTTGTGAACGCGTATGGCTGGACTTCGACGTCGGCGCGGGTGATTTTATTTATAAAACTACTTTTGCCGACGTTCGGGAAGCCGCAGATTATTATAGTTCGCGTGTAAGGATCTATGCTCGGTAAACGAGCCAAGTGCTGGCGAACTTGTTCCAGATACGCCAAGTTCGCGGCCTGCCTCTTCATAATCGTTGCCATACGACCCAACGCTGCTTTCTTCAATTGCTTACACCGATACAAAGAATCACCGTATTTCATCAATCTAACGTAATCCTTCGCGACACTGTAACAATTAAACGAAGGTTAGTCGATAGACAAAGATACTCGATAGACAAGTTTATCTTCTGTCGATTTGTATATACATACTTGTCTATCAAATTCCTAGCTATGTTTATTTGACCAAGAGCCAACTTGTAATGGTCCTTGTCGTATAACACATTCATTAGATCGGCATAAAATGGATGGACGTCATCTAACTTTGGAAATTCTTGAATAATTTGAGACAACCGATCGTGAAAGCTCTGCTGTGTGAATTTTACTTTGCGTATATAAAACGCGCGTATTCTTGTGATTTTATAATTTTTATGTACCACCGTCGGAGTCTTACGTTGGGTTTTTGATAAGATTATATCGATGAAGTCCTAAACGAGAAACAGGAGTTTGTTAAATGAAACGAATCAATTAAATTAAATAGTAAATAGGGGAAGTATATAACCTTTGCAGTCGGAACGACCGCGATTTTCTTGAAGTTGTACAAACTCATCGTGGCCGCTAAATAGCAAGCACGTGGAAACTATATGAAACTCACGAATGTTGCACGTTCGATGATACGTTCAATTTAGAACGTAATAAAACGAATTCAAATGACACATGTAACAAAAGCACATGGTCCTAGTGATGGGCACCATCGACTAAAAACTATCGATTTAGTCGATAGTAGCCAACGATACTTTTAGTCGGCTAAATATCGACTACATTGAACCAACTTCAGGCGGCTGCTTGAATTATCGATAAACTGCAATCTATAGTTCGACGGTCCAAGTTCAGACGACTAAATTCTAATCGCACATCAGTTATTAAGTAATAAACAATGATCATTGCTTTGTATACAAAGCATAATAG